ATTGGGAGGAAGATGCTTAACAGTTTGTTTAATCATGGTAACATTTTAAATTTTGATAAAATAAATTATTTATAGCGTGGAGAAAGTCCATTCATTTGGACCAGTTTAACTGCTAGACCTACTTATGGCCTGCAGAAATTTTACTGATCTTGTTATCCATCCATTTCAGTATTCTGGTATTGTGTGGAGGAAATTTATAAATAATGACTGTCACATTAGGCGAATCAAGGATTTTTTTTTATTTTTCAGTTGATGTGGAAAGATATACAATATAGCTAAATTGGTTGACTGCAGCACCATGATAACAAATAGATTGCTACCTCAACCTTTTTTTGTTGTTGTTTGGCACAGACATTCATAAATAAATATGTTTCAACTTAAGCGTAAGGTTTCTACACCTAAAAATTTAAAGGGGTGGAGTCTACTTTTTACAAATACCATCAATCACAGTATGCCCACACAAAGTGGGTAACCCTTGGTATTATTGAATTTAGAAGAAATGTATGAGAATTGCAAAAAAGTTCCAGAAGATTGTACTATTCTGCAATAAATATTTACATATGAAATGAGAATAAACTAACCTTCAATTTCAAGGACTTGCATTGCTCAGGAAAAAAATCGCTAAAATTTGCCATTTCCAGCCATACAATGTAACAACAACAGCACTTCATTTCAGATAAAGGTTGGTTATCCTCATCTTATATGAAAATATAATATTGATCACAGAATAGTACAGTAATAATTATGGAACTTCTTGCTATTCTCATACATTGCTTCTGAATTCAATAATACCAAGGGTCATGCAGTTTGTGTGGGGCCCCTGTGATAACAATAGCTTTGATTAGTAAGGCCATAACTAGATCTGAAAAAATCACACTCAATCAGTATTGCTGCTGGCTGTAGTCAATTAACATTTGTCTCTTATTTTTTCCTTTTTAATATTATTTTTCAGGCTGTGGAAATAGCAAGGAACTGTGCATTACCTTGGTTTATCCTAGCAAGTATGTTAGACAATTGCCTTGCTTACAATGCTGCTAGGTGTTATGAATTCTGCGCTCACTTTCCAGGCTCACAAAAGTCTCCTAAAATTCAGACTGCTCCAGACAGCAGTACATTTAGAGTATCATATACTAACACAAGAATAACAGCTGTGTTTGAGAAAAAAAAAACAGAATAACACGCAAAAGGCAGGATATTGCAACAACACTTTGCGAAGAACTGCAAACAAGCAACTGCGTGTATAGATCACAAGGTGCCCCTGCTAGAGGCATCAGGCCACCCCCAGTATAGCAGGAAATACTGCGAATCAGCATTGTTTTCAACTTTGCCTAAATTACATTTAGCCACATTAATATAAGTATTTTTATTGATATCATTATTATTATTCCTTTCATTTATATTAATTAATTTAATTCCTCGCTGGGAAATAAATTTGATCAGCTGGCTGGGAAACCAACCAATTTTATCCAGCTGGCTGGGAAATTTCTTGTGTGTCTTGCTGGGAAAAAGGAACAGATAATATTTTCCCAACAACACTGAAAAACACTTGAAGATGCCTTAATAACATTTCTTTTTATTAATGGGGGTATAATAATACATTTTACAACAAATTGGTCGTTGGGTGCCCCTGTGTTAAGTTTTATTTTCCCCGTTTTAAGAGAAAAGTGTCTCCTAATACCAAGTTATACTGGTTACATAAATCGAAAAAAAATCAAATGCTTAAATATTGTAAGCTCTCTTTGCCATAGCCATTGTTGTGATTGCATCCCGTATAGAAATATTGAAAGGACTAATAAATATGTATGTACATTGTAGCTGTCTGCTGCAAGTATGTCTCCTTAAGTAAAGAGGAACTAGAATTAATTTGATTAAGCAGCATTAATAAACTGACAGCCATCAAGCAGATCAAGTTCTGGATTTAACGGAGCAAGCATAATTAAGTAAGTTCCAAAATTTTGCACACTTAACATCAGAGACACTCCAATGATTTTACAGTGTTTTTATTGTTTGTTTTTACATGCTATTCATTTAACGTTCCGTAACTTTTTCCGTCAGCATCACGAACGATCTTTAATTTGGCAGCTTGATGGTCTTCTTCAATACCATTTTTCCGTCTTTCGTTGAGGTCTGACATTGCAATGCTCTCTCCTTGACCGCGACAGTGATCTTCGACGTCTGCTGTTTCATTTCCATGCGCACGCGCACTGGTTTTTTCGACCGAGTCCCCATGCGATGAGAAGAGCTCTATGATCTTCAAGTAGAGCCCAGTCTTTTTCAATTGAGCTACGAGGCTTTGCGCGCAGAGGTTGATTGTTATGGAGACCACGGATAGGCCAACGTACAGTAGCATCAGGTTTATCCAGATACCCTGAAATATCAATGCAAGCTGTTCGGCGGGACATTGAGGAGAGAAGAAAACAAATTCATGCAGTTATCCTCATGCACATGCAGTCTATTAAAATACCTCAGTNATAATTAAGTAAGTTCCAAAATTTTGCACACTTAACATCAGAGACACTCCAATGATTTTACAGTGTTTTTATTGTTTGTTTTTACATGCTATTCATTTAACGTTCCGTAACTTTTTCCGTCAGCATCACGAACGATCTTTAATTTGGCAGCTTGATGGTCTTCTTCAATACCATTTTTCCGTCTTTCGTTGAGGTCTGACATTGCAATGCTCTCTCCTTGACCGCGACAGTGATCTTCGACGTCTGCTGTTTCATTTCCATGCGCACGCGCACTGGTTTTTTCGACCGAGTCCCCATGCGATGAGAAGAGCTCTATGATCTTCAAGTAGAGCCCAGTCTTTTTCAATTGAGCTACGAGGCTTTGCGCGCAGAGGTTGATTGTTATGGAGACCACGGATAGGCCAACGTACAGTAGCATCAGGTTTATCCAGATACCCTGAAATATCAATGCAAGCTGTTCGGCGGGACATTGAGGAGAGAAGAAAACAAATTCATGCAGTTATCCTCATGCACATGCAGTCTATTAAAATACCTCAGTATAAAAGCTAAAAAATACCACGATAAGGGTTTTTGAATATCATGGTCACACTTGAATATCGACTTTTTGATCAACGTGATGTTCGGTACTTCCAAGTTTTTCTCTGTGCTGAAATAAAAAGTGGCCTGCGAACTGGCTTATGTAAAGGGCAGCGACAACCATGTACTGGAAAGATCACAATTTGAAATAGGATACAAAAAGCTCTGACCATTTTTTCGACAATTTATTCCTTTCATTTATAACGAAGTTTGAAATCTCCTCGCAGCAAGGTAGACTCACAAGGCCCAAAATGGTACAATTCCCGGACGAAAAAGCCACAAGCCATTCAAGAACGACCACGCACGTCTCAGAATAAGAACCACTAATCAGTGGTTACTCCACGAATGGAAAAATTAAATCCTCTCTTGTCCAATTTCAGAGCAAATTTAGAGATGCGGTAAAAACTGGGTGCTTCGTACTGCGCTTGCGCTAAATCTACGCTGAAACTACGCCCGATAAATCATTGATCGTATCTCCTTCCCCTAGTCCCTTGCCAACTGAATTCTAACTAAATTTTCCCTTCCCAAAAATTGCAGTTACGTGGCATCGAATTTGCCTATGCGTTTTCTCTCCTTTGAGTTGTTGCAGACCAAACCAAAGTAAGATTAATTTTTTTCAGTGTTTCATTCGTTACTTCGAAAAGATCATTTGCGAGTTGCCCAAAACCTCTGTTTTAAAGCGAGGCTAGGTACAATAAAGCCATTGATATGAAAATGATTTTAATTGTTATGAAAATAAAACCATTATCACAAGAAGACCAAGAAAGGTTTCGCACTTAGCCTCGTTTTGAAAGTCAGAGTTTTTGGAACTCGGAAATGGGCATTTTAGCCTGCGATAAGGTATTCTCGATCCCAGAACTCATTCTGTCTTAATCTTTGAAGAACTGGGTACGAGATTTAGCGAACAAGCTCTTGAGGTGTGGGTGGGGTAGTCGAGAGGTAAATTGAAGATCTCGCTTTTTGCCCACCCGGTCCCTGACAGCTTGCTCCCACGAGCTACTGGAGTTTATATTCAGAATTACATTAGCTTAGTAGTGTAGTGAAGGTTTCTCCTTTCCTCAATGACCAAGATAAAATAGCTTAAAGTTATAGAAGAGATATAATGAATAAAGAGGAAGAAATGCAAAGTGTCCATTTGTCAAAGCTGGTTAAAATGCCAACAAAGATATATCAGATATATGGGTGGCACAACAATCTCCACGAGATTCATTTCAAGAGAATTCTTCTGCAAAGTAAGCTGTTGGTAGAAAATAACATCTTAAAGACCTTTAGTAACGATTTAATCAGTGAAAAGAATAGCTGCAGAGTCAGCTATGCAGTGTCAAAGAGAAGTCCAAAGATGGCAATCAAGAGAAAAAGCAAGTTTGAACTAGAAAGAGAATGAAACTGGAAACAGGGGGTACTCAACAAATGTTTATAAGGGGAGGCTCCGCCCCGAGGTCCAACCCTTACCCTTTTATATACCATTTTCCACGAAAAAGGTACCCCTTTAGTATACCGTCTATAATTAACAATTATTCGTCCAGCCCGAATGGGCTCTGAGTCAATAGCCCATGAGGCCGAAGGCCGAATGGGCTGTTGACTCAAAGGCCATGAGGGTACGAGGAATAATTGTTTTAGTAAAATCCAACTAGTTGGTCAAAAAATATCGAGACAAAACTTTAGCTAGTTAAAGCTAGAAAATCCCTTTTTGCCCCCAAAAAGCCGGCGCTTTGCGCTACTAGTTGGCTATAACATATAGCCTAATAGTAGCTCAACCAATCAGAACGCAGCAATGATGATCGACCACTAGTTGGATTTTACTAATACCAAAGAGTACCCCTTTCACAAACCTTGTTTAGAACTTTGCATCCCTTTTAACTGCTGTAAATACACTGTCTTTTAAATAGGAATCAGTCACAAAAATAGAAGGTTTCTTCGAATTTATAAAGCCAAAAAATTCATCTGTTAGCCCTCTGGGGTACTTACACAGACCCAAATGACAGATTTCCCTACCCTTTCATATACCTGAAGCCTGAAAAAGATACCCCTTTCGAGCGGAGCCTCCCCGTACAGGTCAACATGGGTAGTACCCCTCCCCTCCACCGGGAACTGGAATTTCCCCGACTTTTTCCTTTCCTTCCTATCTCCCACCCCTTTCGACGCATGTCACGCAGGCGCAGCACTGTAGAAACAGACATTCATAGCTGAGGAGTCCAAATGCAAGAGAAAGACGGCATCACCCACAGACCTAATAGGGAGAAACATTTCGCCTTGAATCATGACGTTGTGCAAGCAAACTTCATCATTAACTGCAATGAAGACTTTAGGTAAGGCAATGAATAGCCTCTTTGAATAGGAGTTAACTGGGCATGGTAGTGTTATAAGGGCATGATAATAAAAGCGTTGTGCCATTCTTATGGTTGTCCTGGGAAAGAATCTTCAATTGTGAAGAGATAGTTAGCATTACGTGAAAAAAAAAAAAGATGCACAAGATAAAGAGTTGAACAAGAGAAAAGTTGACAGAAGAATTATGACATAAAAATAAGAACACGGATCACTGAGATTTTTTCATTTACTTCATTTTCAGAAACTTCATAGAGCAAACTCTTCCCCCCAGGGACCTATTCCCCCGGCTACCTCATCATCGGAAAGATGACGTAGCTGGAGAGAAGCATCCAAAGAAAAAGGCTGGCGCCGTTATAGATTGACATACGTTCAGAACCCTACGCTTAGGTTTCTGGGAAACTACCCACCTACCCCTCACATAAGTCAACATTAACACTTACTTCTCACTTAGGGCAAAATGTTGGGTTAGGGGAGGGGTAGGTGGGCAGTTTCCCAGAAACCCAGCAAAGGGACAGCAAACTTACCGCTGCAGATTTAGGCACAATGTCTCCGAATCCAATAGTGGTAAAGGTAATGAAAATGAAGTATAACGCGGTTCCAAAATCCCATCCTTCAAGAGCGCAATATAGGGATGACATGAACGCCAGAAAGATAAAAATAATCGGCAGGGCGACCCAAACTGGGGCGTTGATTTGTGCGTCTTCAGCGGACTCGAACTCGTAATCAGAGCGAGAATACCGTCGTATATACTTTACCAGCCACGCGCATGCCCCGTTTAGGTAATGGACGATATGATGTCCTACCACTGCTAATAACATCAGGGTCAGCGGTATTCCAGTGAGAGCATATATAACGCAGAATAAGCGACCGCCCGCTGTTACCGGGGCCAGATTTCCGTAACCTAGGCAATAAAGAAAATGTATCATGTTCAGAGACTCTATAGTTGTGGCTTTATGAGCGGTCTCGTTGTAAGATGAATAGTCTAGTTATCTGTCGGTATGTGTCGGCTTTCTGAACTGCACCTTGAACTATCAAGGTGTATGGACTCGGGGAAGATAAATAGATAGATAGTTTATTAGCAAATAATTAAACAGCAACCAAGAGTTGAATTGTTAGGCTTAAAAATAATAAAAAAATTCCAGCAGGCAAATGCGACGGCTATACGCTTATGTTTCAAATGAATCCACCACGAAAAAAAAAATCTAAAAATGAAATATCATGAACACATCATATAATTCATTTCATTAAAAATTTGTCAATTCATTAAAAATTTGTCATAGAAGAGGTAAAAAGGACTGCCTGAACCGATTGGTACTACAAATGGGAACATTAAAGGTACTTGGCCGCCTGAGGTAATATTTGGGTTGGTGTCTTTGGGGGACTAGATGGAGAAGTCGGAGAAGCTTGTGAGATGGAATGTACCTGTACCGTAGATAGCTAAGGGACGCAGCATTAAAAATTGTTTGCAGCAGGATCCGTTTTAAAAAAATGTTTGCATGTAAAAATTTTCCACCCCCTCCCCCCCCTTTAAAAACATAATGGTCCGTCCCTTAGGAGCAAGCTGTTTCTCTCCTTATGCCCAGGTTGGAGAGGTTGAAGCGACTGAGGTTGTCCTCATGGGTGCACTCGGGACTGATAATATGAAGAGTCCTGTTCTGAACCCTCTCAATGTCCTCCTGGGGTTATCACAAGATAGCGCATGTTGAAATACCGCCAAACAGTATTCAAGGATGGACCAAACGCGCGGACAATAAAAATTCACAATTATTTCCTTAGGTGGAATACCGCACGAAGGAGTAAAATAAGTCAGTAAGGAAGAACTCGCGTTCCAGCTAAGATCCTTGATAGCGGAGCTCCACGCGAAGCGCCACGCACAGGCGGAGCCCCATAGCTAAGGAAATGTGGTAATCTACCCATCCGAGAAAATTTGGTAATCACGTGACCATACACCGACTGACAGCCCGACCGTCCGTCCGCACCACAGGCATACCAATGTAGAATAACTCAATCAATAGGTATGGCAACCCAAATGCAACTCAAGGTTTTCTTTGGAACTGAAATCACATGGCCGCCCGGACAACAACAAAGTCGTGTCTTTTTCGGTGTTATTTTTAATGTTTAAACTAACGTGGATAACAGAGGAAGAGCTAGAGTGAGTTATTAAAAACAAAGGAGACGAATTTCGTTGGAAGAAAAACATTGACATTCAAAGCGGCGGTGAGAAAATGAAAAATGCTAGCGGCCAGCAAGGTGAAAATGAGCGGCAGTAAAAAATAAGAGCGAACATGAACACAGGATACAAAATATTGGGTACTAGCACATAAGACAATTCCTCCATAAAAATAATGTTTAACTAGGAAGTTTGACGTTTTAGTCGTACAAATCAGCGTTGTAGCCGTGCAAAACAACGGCAAGGCAAAGACAAAAAAGCGTGCTGCACGTGCAAATTTGTTTTTTGCAAATTAGAAGAAAAAGTGTGCTGCACGTGCAATTTGTTTTTTTTTTTTGCTAATTAGATCAATTAGTCTTGAAGCCATTTTCATTGTCGTCCCCGATTAGCATTACACAATTAATTTTTTTTTTCTTTACACGTATTATTAACCAGAGCTTCGCTTTTAGCCCTGGCTAAATCTATATATTATAGTTACTGACCCTAAGATGTTAGCATAGTTGACAACACAAAAATCAGACCGGTAGACCGAAACCGGACTAAAATTCAGATTCAGGGCCGACAAGGGGAGGAAGAAACTTGAGAGGCAGGAAACATTGCATGAGCTCTAAGAAGGCTGAATTGATCTTGTTGGCCAAATCAAATGGCGATAGAAAATCGGCATCGAGAAAGTTGAGTTTCGAAAGCAAATGTTAAGGACCTCGTAGCGGACCTTTGACTATTACACGAATCAAGGCACCTATACAACTGATTAAAATAATCAGCAACTCTTTATGAACTCGCTAAATCACCTTCATGAAAATATAAAGGTTTCATTACAATAGCTGGTTAAAACGTTACAGAAATTATATCCGAGATAAGCATGAATGAAGACATAAACATTTAAGACGGCCTTACCTATTGTGGTCACAACGGTTGTCGCAAAAAACAAGGAATTCGAAAAGCTCCAGCTAGGTTTCGAGGCAGCTGTTCTCCTCTTTCTTATTTCGTCAAACTTTGCATCAATTTTTTCCAGAGAATCAGATTTGAGCCCTTCCACGGCCTCTTTGATGTCTAAATGTTCCGGTAAGATCTGTTTTCCTTGCGAAGTTTTCTTCAAAGTTTGCAAGAACAAAGCAACATCGTCGCTTGTACTGTGTTCCTTTCTCGGCTTGTATTCTATAGATTCGAAGATTAATCCTCCAATGAATAGAAAAACTAAATTTGCCAAAAAGAGAACCAACGGAACCAGATTTTTTCGCTGCGTTGGTGTTAAAGTCATGCCTCTAGGATTGCTAAAATTTTGTCCAATTTGTGATTATGCCGGAAACATTTACATGGAATACAAGTTAAAGAATGGTAATTTTCGAGTTCCTACAAATCACTTTCAAAACATTCGAATGCGTGTTCTATTCAAATATATTTTATCGTGCTGAATTATTTAGTATTTTCTTCGGATTGATTTGCGTCTTGTTTTAATTGGTTGTTGGAGTGCGAAGTTCGATCGAATTGTTTTGTGCAATGTTATCTGTTTATAATAATCACAACCAAAATATTTGTGTGTGATTGTGTGATTGCAGAAGAGTACGGCAAAATGTTCAACTATTGAACATGGAAATCACTTTTAATTTCACAACCCACGATTTATCACTTAAGATAAAATAAATTGCGCGGTTTCTTTCATTTCTTTGTTGTACTCTTATCGCTGTGACTTATGTCTTTAAAGTGAGTAACACATGCAAAAAGGGCCGGGGTCACGGACAAAGTTACAATTAGACAACATAAGCTGATTATGACTCAAGTGCAAATATCTTCAATCAACTTTTCGTTATTGATTAAAACTCTCTTTCTATTTCAATTCACAAACCACACGGCTGGAGCTGATGGACTTGAAAGTGGAGAAACGGCTGTTTTCTCAGGCTAAACTGACATGTGTTACTAGAAAATTACGGAATATAAAAAACGAAGGATGAATATCAATGTTTTATTTGACTGAGCAGTAAACAGAGTGAAAAAAAATACTACAAATAGCCCATAAAAGTTGCGTTTCACGCGTTGTGCAAGTCTTCAAAAAACGAACACCCGCATAAAAAAAATGATGGTGATGCCTTAGTAAAAGAACCTAACAAGATTGTAGATCAAACTTGGTACACTGATGTAACAAGTCAAGAAGATGATAAAAAAGTAATAAAAGGTAGGACTCACTGGGCTCGTTTTGACGTCACAATGCTGACAAGTACGGCTATTTAGGACCCTTTGGCAAAAGCCGCGAACCGGGATCTAATTTTTGCACAGTATCTACTGAAATTTTTTCTTAAGTTAGTGAATGACTGATTTCAGTCCCCTCTCGCCCCCATGGAGGGATCTGCCATATATGAACCACACCTCATACACTACACAGCCGTTATTAGTCACGTATCGTCACGCAATGCTCTGGGGACTCAAGGAGCGTTGAGTGACCACACTAAATACCGTATTTGTTCGAAGACATGAAGCGCCCAACCTCGAATTAGCGCCCATCTCGAATAAGCGCTCATATGAGCGCCCACCCCCACCCCACCCTCTTGGGTGATAATGAGTTTGAAATTGAATAAGTACTAATATAAAGAGACTTCCCAGAAGACGGAGTTTCTTCAGAGTAGGGGTAGTTTACAGAAACCTTGCTTTGTTACATCTTCGCGTTTCGTTGTTACCATTTATTGTTTTGTTGCAAAATAAAGAAACTACACTTGCTGAAAATTAAATGGTGAAAATTTAATGAGCGTCCAGCCTCGAATAAGCGCCCACCTCGAACTAGGCGCCCACTCTCAAGGTCCAAAAGTTTAATAAGCGCCCAAGGTGGTTAATCGAATAAATAGGGTACGGCTGTGTAAGACTACACACCCTCTGGATTTTCCAAACCCAAAATTTACTAGAAAATTAGGCACCTGATTGTCGCATTTAACAGGTAAATACCCCCGCCCCCTCTCCTCCTCCAGCCACTCTCCAGAAAATTGGTCAAATTCGCTCCCTCTTAGCCTACACCAAAAACGAAAAGTCTCCCTAACCGGAGTTCATTGCAGGAGTTCATTGCGTGCCAGCTTCTAATCAATTAAATACACGCGCACTCTTTCTATTGGTTCAGTTGGTTTACCAGCAAAATCTCGTGATTTACAAGAAATTACACGTTTTTTGAGAGAGAACCTGGAGTGAGAAAATCAGTTCAATTCAATGCATGAATCAGATAAACAAAATATCAATCCAGCTCAATAAATGAATTTAAATTAAGCTGCTAAATTAGGGAAATGAAGGGGAATTCACAATTGAAAAGAGGTATTAAATAATTCGAGGGGGAAAAGAAAAGATTTCTAAATCTAAGAAACAAAGCAGTTACAATCAAAATTGCTATAGTTTATTCCAGCAAAACTTTTTCAAATTCTGATAAGCTTATTAAGAGATGACACATCATGAGTGTGATCTTTGGCTCATTTCAGAATGACCTTGACTGACCGCCACCGAAAAGGACCAGTCAGCGGAAACCTTCTCGAAGAGAAGTTTGGTGAACTTTACATGCAGTAGAAATTCACCAAACGTTTTTGGTGAGAATCTCCGATCTGAAAGGACTGAAACATTGGTAGAAACATTCAGGACCGTTTTCGTTTTCCAAATGAATTGCAAGAAGACTCGACGTCGCCAAACTTAACTACAGGAACTCCGGAAATCAAAGTGCAGCAAAAAGGTGGTATGATACAGTAATCACGTGGCTACTCAAAGGTCAAACGATCGTCTCACTGTACAACAAAATGAGCGCATGACATCATTCATTTCCATCAAGTTCCACGAAATTCTCTTTCGGTTGCAAAACAGTCAACGATGAATGGCAGAAACTGAAACTCTGAAGAGCTAGAAATGTCCTTCTTTATTAGAAATACACGATCTTAGATCTGTTCATCATTATTCCCTGCCAACTGGTTGTTCGTTATGGAACTTGGAATAAACATGATCAACAAAACCCTGAAAATCATTACAAGACCTCACCTTTTGACGGTTTCGATAGTGACAGCGTGGCTATGTTTGCTGTTTAATATTGCTCTCCGTATTTATTATCTGTGGATGCGAATCACTACTTGGTAAGTTTTAATGAAGTTCACCAGTTTATTTTGCAGACGTCCCCGCCGCGAATCGAACCATAAATTGCGCAATGTTTGTTTTTATTATATATAGTTATCGTAAGCTTGAACAAAGTAAGCAGCGATGCAAGCTAACTCTAAGTTGCTTTCAACTACGAGGGATTCCACTGAGATTTCCTCACAGCCCCATTCATTTATCATGTGCTCATGTTTCGATTCTTCGTATAATTATACAGTTTATGTAAAAAATAATGAGATTGCTGCATCTATAATGAATGGGCTGTTGTTACCAAAGCTGCTTACTGTCAATAGATTTGTTTTGGGGAAAATGGGATTGTTTGCAACCACGAGACAAGGCAGCCATGTTGGGTTAAAGACGAATTATCAGTAGAACCTCGTAAAAGCCTGGTTTCCAAATGATTGTTCAGATTGTCGTGATCATCCCAGTCATCTCAAATGATGTTCAGAAAATCAGGACAATCATACCTGGATGACTGAGATGGACTTGGTTGCTTGGATAGAGTTGAGGTCTATCCAGACAATCGGGATGATCATGTACATTGTAAATTTTGAAGCAATCATAATAAAAAATTATAAAAGTTACTCTCTCAGACCATAGAGACTATCGAGCCAATCAAAAGCCATCTCAGAAATCATCACTATTTTCCAGGAATGGAGAATAAATTTGGCCTAAACACTGCTAAAGTAAAAAACATAATACAAAAATGTTCGCATCACGTATGGAAACTATTTGAAACTAGAGAAAGTCTGTTACATCAACTTCTTGATGTGAGACTATTGTCTTCATGGAACTCTTCCAGCTTGTTGATGTTGCAAAATCAAGAGAAAAAGCAGATAGCAAGGCGTGATGTTTGCTCTCTGAAAAAAAAATCCATCATCATGTTTGGCTTGTTTGCCATGTGAAAAAATGCCAAGTGCCGAGGTTGTACTATTAATTTTTCCCCAGAATTTTCATGAACAAAGAGTTAAGCTCTGAGCAGAGAGAGGTCCTCCAACCAACATAGCTGCCATGATGTCAACTACAAGCCAGCAATAATTAACTTACTATTTATAGCTGGAGCTTCAAGCTTGTAAGGGTGCTGTATAATATGCATGTATTAAGCTGAAGCTCCATCCCTGCTTGTTTGTATAATAGTGCCTCAGTACATGTAGATGGTCAGACAAGTGAACTGCTGAGCTGCTAGAATAGTAATCCCATCCACAGACAAGCGACTTGTTCTGAAAATTGTCCTTTATTCTGAAGTTATGCCACACTAACTGTGCAGAGATTGAACACTCTCATCATAAAAAATGTTTGGCCTGTGGGAAGAAACAGGGGCCCCTCAAATCTCCCTTCCTACTTTTTTTCTACCTGGTACAAATGTGCACACAAAGCTCTGTTCTGAGAAAAATTGAAGGGAGCCCAGTGCTCTGAACCTGTGAAATCCAGGGTGCCCAGCATTTAAGTTTTTCTTGTCGGCTTGGAGCTAAAGTTAGGCACCAGGGGCCACTGAGTGCCACTAGAACACAGCCTTGAAACACAACCTCTAAGAAAAGAGGCTGATGAAAATATGTGTATATATCTGCAGTGCCAGAGGGTACACGTACTTACACTGTAAAATATAAAGGTCTAACAATGTTTATAGGAGGATCCACTGTTTAGTAAAACAACGGTAACCATAAATCCTCTTTTAAGCTCTACCCCCTCTCTAATAAGCCTTCTCCCTCCAATAAGCTGCCCCCTTTTCAGAGGGAGAAAGTTTTTTTAAGCCCCTCCCTCCCCTCCCCTATTTATTCTTCAGTAATAAATGATAGACTGTTTTAAATAATCACCGCTGAAAACGTTGTGTTGACTGACCCCGGGTGTCTTATTTACCAACTGGAAATTCAGATTTAAATCTGATCGTCAGCTGCATGACCTCCAACCTTCTTGTTCTTGAGCTTCTCCACTTAGGATTCTAGTTCTTTATGGAGAACTGATACCATTGTCTTTTTTAAATTGAATAAGCCCCCCGTCTCTATGAAGCCCCCTCTCAAATGGACTTGAAATAAATAAACCCTTGAGGCTTAATAGAGGATTTACAGTAATTACAAACCTTTTTTTAAAGTTTATTAAATTAATTCTATTTTCAATGTAATTAATTCTGGTTTTGTCTTTTTAGGTTCTTAAACTGTCTCCTCTCTTTAATTCTCATCTGGTTGTTTGGTCTGCATAATGTGTCAATAACAATCGGAGAATTTGGATTTTTATCAGTGAAAGGTGTGAAAATACGATGGAGGAGGGATGATGTAGGTTTGGTATGTAACATACTTTCTTCCTTTGCAATGGCCTTTAGAATCTTGCTGAAAGGGTGATGATGCTACTTCATAAGAAATGAAGATGTTACGAGTTGACTTGTAGGGTGAGATAAAGGTTCTAGTAAAGTAGATGTATCTGGGTCTAGTGGCCCATCAGGCCACAGTTTATTCTTGTCTGCGTCGCATTTATAATCTACCGGTAACCCCAGCTAGTAATGTCAATTTCAATTCCAATTTATTTTATTTATTTTTTTTATTTATTTGCCTTACAACCTTAACATCAAATTTCTTATGCTTAACATAAGATAATATTATCAAGAACATAAGGCCGGAAGATTTTGTCTGCAAAGCAGTGCCGATATCCTTGGTCTGGGCCCCAACAGACTCAACAAAGTACTGGTAATACATTTAAAATTTCCCTTCAAACTGGTTGGCAAACTGACAATGGCTATTTTAACAAGCCAGTCATGGCAGATACTGAAACCCTGGTACACATGGGGAGGGGGGTGGGGGCACAGAACAAGGATTTTGGTGCTGTTTCACAGATAGACTTACGGTAACCAGAAATTTAGTTCCATCTGTGGCGCAGACTAAGCTTAAATTCTAGTTTCTGTAGTTTAAAGGCAAGCAGCTAGGAATATTTTTATCCCCCCTCCCTTCTGGACAGAATGCTAGTCCATCCCACCTTTATCTCCAGTATTATTTTACTTGGTACCCATGCATTTGGGTGAAGTCAGAGGCCCACTTAGGGAGAGTACATACATTGTATGTCCCTACTGGTCTGAATTTCAAAACAGTCATTTTGCATTTTTTTTGGAGTTAGCCATTTCCTTGTGGGTATTTAACTCATCTTTCTTTTGTTTTTCACCATTTCATCTTGTCTTTTGTTGGGGTTTCAAAGCCCAGTCGCTTGTTGAAATTTTGCACTAACAGAGCCTCAACTGAGGCGCTTTGAGAGAAACGTTTTTCATTCAATCTGTAGTGGTGATGGATAATCTGACTGGTATCCTAATGTAAGAAATCCTTAATAGCAATCTACACCCTTTCTGAAAGATCCTATTGTAAAGCTCAACAATAGTAATATATACCGGTAATAAAATGGTCTGGCACTTCTACAGTGTACATGTAAGTTTGAGCCTGAAAACAAAGTTTCTCTGCTGCCGCTTTAAACATTTCTGGTGCAATTCTCTGGAGTAATCTCTGTTTTGAGGCAAGAATAATTATGCCATTTCTTTCAGAGATCAAACTCAAACTTAGGTACACTGTATATGTACATTTGTACTTCCTTGCCTTCTGCTTGTTGGTGTTGATTACTTACATGTATTTCACTTTGAATTGTAAGTTTTGTTGGTTTTTTAAAATACTTTTAATATGTCTACCTGTATGCTTCACCTAGAAATTAACCAATAATATTATAATAATTATGTTTACTTTCTACAGTCTATTGAAGAAGTAGGAATAAAGAGATTAGAATGGAACTTTGAAAAAGTTAGGTAAGATAAAACAATCTATTTGTCTTGTTTCTAGACGTACAGCTGTACCGTATTTCCTCCAATAAAAGCTGGGGGCAATTATTATTTTTTTCAGACAAAAAGGAGGCGACTATTATTTTGAAGGTGATTATTTTGAATATTGCTCACTGGAAGTCTTGCCCTAAATATTTGGTTTTATTATCCCATTAAATTAAAAAATAATAACATCAAACAAACTGAACAAGGGTTTTTTAAGTATTCCAAGTTTGTTCCTTGATTAATTTCCAAAGTCAATATCCTCGGCGTCAGAACTTGAATCGTCACTGATCAGTTTTGTTGGATCAGACTCCCCTTCAACTTGATAGGGAGGGGATAACAGAAAGAGAAGAAGGCTAGATAGCTGGGAAGGGGCAATTATTCGAGGAAGGCGATTAATCAGGGGACGGCTATTATTTGAGGGAATACGGTATTTGTAGAGATCGTATTTAAAATACATTTTACACTTTGTGCATTTATTAATTTTGTCTTCGCTAGAAGTGGTTTTCTTGATGAATCAATCTCAAATTTTTTTTGTGTTATTTTTTTCAGGGATCTTACATTATTGTTCAACATTAAACAGTTCAAAAGAGAGCTGTTCACTGATTTCAAGGTACCACTCTCCGTAGTAAAATCAGTAATTGACAATGTAACAATCCTTTGTATGTCACTACATGTACATGTACATTTGTATCTAAAGTAATTACTTTACCTTGGTTGTTTAGGATGCAACAACAGATATTTACACTTCTTTCGTTCTTCACTGGAAAATGGTAAGTTTAAAGTATGTTTGTGTCGCTAAAGCTGTTTCTATCTTATCAAATTTTTACAAGTTTTTATTTTTGAGGATAGCTATAGGGGTATATATGGTACATGTAAATCCAAGACTGTGTGAGACCATGCTGCACAATGCCCTGGTTTTAAAATCCAAGATGGAGACTATTCCTTCTTATTTGATAAATCTGGGAACAAAATTGTACATTTATATAACAGAGAAACTTCAAGCCCAAGTCTCACAGTATTTCCTCCAATATTAGCTGGGGGTGATTTTTTTTTCTTCAAACTAAAAGGGGGCGATTATTCAAGGTAGGCATTATTTTAAATTTTACTCAGTAGAAATTTAAAAAAAATAATCACATCAAATAAACTGAATGTGGGCTTACCGGTATTTAGTTCCTGTAACTAAACCTTTGCTTTTGTAACTATTCATTTGTAAACAATTAAATTAAAGCTTGTTTGGTATATCCAAGGTGTCAATCTTTCACTTGATAGGGAGGGGATAAAAGAAAGAAAAGGTGGCAAAAGGGGTGGGGTGGGGGGAGATTATTCGAGGGAGGTGATTAATTGAGGGACGGCTACTATTTGGGAAAATAATCTATGGTACAATGTATCCAAACTTTCAGAGATTGTCAAAACATCTTTTCCTACAAAAACTCTTCAAAGAAATTTTTATCATCATTAATTTTTTTTCTTTTTTGTACCAAGAAGGTAATTCTGTTCTTCTATTCATCGATATTTTCAGCAATCTCCCGTTGACCTTCTCAGTAGTGATTTACGAAATTCCAGTGAAACCATTCCAAAGTCCTTCACACTGCTTAAGGCTACAGATGTGGAGATTGGATCACGACTTCACATTCACAGAGGGGGCTCTTATGTCACGCTACTTGAGGTAAAAGACTCTTCTGTTTCTGATATTCTGAGATCAACCTGGAGGGGCAGTAACCAAGTCACAATATTCAGTACTCGTTCTTGTATTTTTAATTATTACCAAAATGTTAAAAAGACGTTTTGATGATGGTAATGACAATAGTTATGTTGCTGGTTATGTTGATGATGATTATGACGATGATGAAAACTACACATAAAATGACAATACCAGTGATACTGAAGATAATGTTGTTTAATTTTGTAAAAATGACTTGTTAATGGTAGTAGTATTGATGGTTGAGGTGGTGACTATACTGAAGTCATAATAATATTACATGTAATATTAATAAATTATTAATGTTTTTACGCTTTTTTTCACTAGGCTGCTGTTCTTGATGGACTTTTGATTCCCTCAGAAAAAGTCACATCATTGTACATAAAGGCAAAGGATTTGACCTACTGCTCTGGGCCTTATGATGCCAAACTTAGTCAGGCCAGACGAGAGAAGGTACTGAAGCTGCATAATCTTTGTAAATGTTTATTAGTCAGCAGTCTGTTAGTTGATAGAAATCCAACAAAGTAATGGCCAGTAGTTGCCAACTAATAATACAGTTACCCGGTTCTGCCATATATGAGGACCAGTCTGATTCTACATATACACCCCATCAGTCTTTGGATCAGGGGTGGGACAACAGTGTTTTAAGTTAGAGGGCTATAATCCTCCCTCTGCTCTAAAATTAATAATGTTACCTGTGTTTGCCAAAACCAATTACAAAAGATTTCAATCCTTACAACTGGTGGTTTTAGTAAATAAATAAGGATAACGGAGAGAGATGATGACAGTAGTTAACCCTTTACATGCCGGGAATCACCAATATCAACTGTCTTTTAACCCTGTTAACAATATCAATTCAAAATCAAGTAAAACAGTTACAAGTGTGAATAAGATGATCACCAACGGGAAAATATTTTAATCTTTTAACAAATTCTCTGGCCAAATTTTTCAAGTACAGTGTAAGATTCTATTAAATATAATTTTACATTTAATAGTGTGTTTGTTACATGTGCATTGCACTAACAGTGATTAATTAGGATTTGTTGTAAACTTTTGTTTTCATTTACCTTTCAGATCATCAAGCTGCCTCTCTTTGATTTTCTGTCGACATTTTATGTAGATGGTCCTTCTCGTATCACAATAACCTGCCATGAAGCACAGATGTTTCTTTGCCCAAGCAAAATAAATTCCTCACTAATATTTCTGAATCATTTACTAAGGCAGCAGATCAAACCTGGTAAGGAATTTGATACCCAAGAAGGTACCTGTAATATAAAAATTTAGCCAAGGCTAAAGGTGAAGCTCCCATTAATAGGTTTATAATTTACTTCAAACAATAAACTTGTAACCATTGCAAAGAAATTTACTTAGAGTTGAGGCTAGGTCTGCAATCAGTGGAAAACTAGTAACTTGTCAGCAGAGAACTTCAAAAATATATAACCTCGATGGGTCGACACCTAATCCTCCATTACGGCCATGTAATATTGTTCATGGGATACCCTGTTTTGACAGCTGTCAGTTGACCACAACATGATGGATATGCAATATCGCAGGTTGCAGGCTCCCACATTAGCTAGAAAGTGTGACATCTTACGTTGGTTTCCCTTTGGTGCTGACGGACAGGTAAACGTAAGGTCACGTGACTCCTTATCCTGGATGGATAACCAAATTTTGTAACGTTATATTGTAATAACTTTAGTCTATTTTCTTGCGCATTTTATAGATCTATCTTTCTTTGCCTTTCCTTTTCGTAATTTCTTCTAAGTAAATTACTCGATTAGCCATGCTATATGCGAGCAGAGGATGTTCTGCGTGTACATGTATGATTTAATTTAATTTGTCGCTTCTATGGAAACCAATAAACTTCAAACTTCTACTTCAAAAAAAAATTCCTAGCTCTAGGGCTCTGCTTGCACGCACGTGGAGCTCCACTAATGATCGGTTCCAATGACATGTCCCATCCTCTTTTATTTTTCTTTAGATTTAAAAACTGATGCACTTGCTAGAACAAATATTAAAATTAACATGGAAAAGTTTTTAGAGGTAAGTCCCATGATGGCTTAGTTGGAGCTGTTGTATTTTTTCCCACTGACCCTTTCATACGCTCCAGCTCGGAAAATCCCTGAAAAATGTGTCCCTTTTAGGCAGAGCTTCCTTGTATCGGCCATTATGGGGAGTATACAATGTATCCCCTTGGAAATGCAACAATATTAATTCACAACTCCATTCTGATAAATTCTGTTATCCCACTTGTAAATACAGTTAACTCACTCTGACACAGGCAATTATTAGTGTTATTATTATCACCTTCTTGAGAGTCAAGAAGAAGCTGATCAAGAACAACAGGGACATACTCTAGGAGCGTTTCTATTTTATAGAGTGTCTCTCTTATATAGTTGTCGTTTAAACCCTCTCAGGTCTAAGAGTGGCCAATATCACTTTTCTTGTAACAACAGGGAGCTTAAGCAACTACGACCACAACGACGACTTCAAAAACAACAAGAGGTTTAATGATCAAAACAACAGCTCTACACGTACATCACGCTTTTTAGAACATTTATTTGACGACCGCTACACGACTACGACGTGAAACCTCCTAATTTGACGTTTTATGGAGGACGTGGGCATACGACGACGAATTTTCCTTCCTCTTTTTGAACCTGAATAAGATCCTTAAGAATTCAACTCCAGGAAAATTCGCCTGCATTTGACATATTGAGCGGGTCCAAATAGACGCGATTTAGGGTTGAAAGAACGCAAATTCACTTTTTTACCGACTTTTTCACTGCCGCCGTCGTCGTCGTCCTTGTTTAAGGTCCCTAATATCAATACATGTCAACAGCAATGATTACTGGAATTGATAAAACGATTATCAAAGAAGAAGTGCTTTGACCTTTTATCAAATAATCTCAACTAATTCTCCTTAAGGCGGGAAATGTGTGGTAATGATAATGGTAATTGATGTTTATTAAATATCTACTATCTTATACTATCACTGTTTTTGTTTTCCATTTGTGTTTAGCTGAATGTAAGGTCAAACGACACCAAGGCTTCAATTTGTTTTCAAGATGGAGCTGAGTCTGTCAACCTTATAACATCATTCAATTTATCCCTTTACAAGAGAAAAACCAAGGTGAGTTTTGATAACTACATGTAAATGATTGTTTTCACTTCTTCTTTTTTGGGTGAACAAGAATAATAATCATTATGCCTTCTAAGACATTTTTGTTATTCGATTATCCCAACCCACAAAAAAGAGCTTTATTCCAAATTCTCAAATACATTGATAATTCATAAAGATAATACAAAGAAAATTAATGTTTTAATGAGTGTTTGGAAATCAGATGAAAAACTGCTAATTTTTGCATCCTTAATTTCCCCTTCTAAAATCATTTTGTTGAGAAGTAATACAAAGCATTCGACACAGTGTTTCATCACCAGATGAAACACCTCGAAGTTCGTCAAAAATACTCCGCTGCTTGTCGTATGTTCAACTCTCTTCCCAGTGTTTCATGTGGTGATGAAACACTACGTCTCGTTCTTGATATATTACCTGAAAACTTCCGTTAGTTTTTTTTTTCCACCCCCAGAGGGGCATTATCTTTGTATCCCTATGTGTATCCCAACTAGGAAATCTCCATTATTCCTATTCCCCCTTATATCTGTAAATTTGCCATTTCAAAGACTTTTGGTTGAAAACAGTTTTATTGTTAGATGTCGGGTGACCTCTAAGTAACCAGTGAGAAAGTGCCCTGTTGCAGAAAAATTCCCATTACGATTCATTGGCATTTTAAGATTTTAAGTGGAGGTCGTGTTTCAAAGCAGATCGTAAAGAATGCCTCTCTGTCAAATACATTTTTAAAAATTTATCATGTTCTTTGTCATCTATGACGCTTATGTTTGTCATTATTTTCAGTGTCCGAAAACGTTTTATTTTTTCACAATTTTCAGAGCCAGTATACCGCTTCAGTGGCAATCCAATCACTTGTTCCCGGTGGACAGCAGACTAAAGATCCGTGTGTTATCGTTGGAAATGAGCTGATTTCTGCTCCATGGGAGTGCACAATTGCAGTAAGTACCAACGGTCATAAAAATAACCGTTGCTCGTCTTTCACCTTAGGGTTCCTGTGCTATAGGGTGAAAAACACTGAAAGATCACGGTCATTGATGGGTTATTTCTTGCTGAATTTTAGGACAGCAAAGTGTGCGATTAGCGTGACATTTTCACATGCGAAATAAAATGCACAATTATGTTCTGGAAGACTCACCATATTAGAGGATCCGATAGTTTTGTACGGATGATATGATAACACAATCAGTAAACAAAAAAGCTGTACTGATTTCTTAGCTAGTAATCGCGCTTTTGTTCTTTAGATTTTGATCTGAATAAACTATTTGATTTCGGGCCTCCAAAGTTAATGGCACGTTCGAGAAACGGGTCCGAGGGCCGGTCATTTATAGCCTGCGTTGCAGCCGGCCCACGTATCGCGTGAACCATTGTTATAAACAGAAGGGTTAGAGTGTCTGCGACGCAGTTTAGTAAGTTTTAACAGAGTTTAGCCAGTGTGATTTAAAAAAACCGCGTTCTAAGCCATTTTCAATTTGCCCCACGTTTCTTGGAGGCATAATGGGTAGACTTAAGAAACATTTATCTTCCAAAAATAACCCAATTAGAAAGAGATCTGGAACTCCACAGATTTCTTACACCATGGTCCAAGTTAAACTTAGTTTAAATAGCCTTTTCTTTGGAGAACGTATTAAAAATTTGTATACCCCTGCCCGCTTTATTCCACATTTTATATTTTTATCAACCCGTTCTATTTGCGTACCTGTTTCAGGGTAGTGACTGGTCAGGTCACTCTATGGCAGTGAGGATCACTTCTGAACAAACTCTTTCTTTGATACTTCGACCGGACTGTATTCCAGTATTCAAAGACCTTCACGAGGTATGTACAGTGAAATTTCATATTGAAAACACCAAGCTGTATTCGGCCAGAGCGGAAAATACCATAATATTGTTTAAACTGCCGTTTGGGTGCACCCCCTGCACCCTCCCCCTAGATCCGCCCCTTTAAAATGTCTGGATTCGTGTGGACTGGGCCTTAGTCTCTCTTTTTCCGAGGCAAACCAATCAAACAAGTAGGCTGACTCTGAGTTGCTATAATTATTCTTGGTAAGGATTTCCAGAAATAATTACCAGGAATAAATTTAGCCAAATTAACCCTTTCACCCCTAAACCATGGGTGAATGGTGAGATTATTTGTCATTCTAACTTGCGTGTGTGGACAAATCCCGTGGTGTTACCAAAACCCCTTCAGAAAATCGTAACTCAAGATGTTGGTATCGTGTTAAATTTATAGGATTACTCCAGCCTACTGGATAAGACACAAGTAAGTGCCTTGATCGCGCTGTTAAAGGACGACATGAAAAGGCAGTCCTCGACAACAAAACAGGTAATTTTATTCAAGGCGAATGAAAGAGATTATTTTAGTGAAACGTGCTGAATCACAATTCGAATCTAAATAATTCTTTCCTGTATAGGGTTCGCACAACTTAAAAATGTTTTCGCGCAAACAAACGAAAATAATTTCAGGTTTTCTCGGCTGTGTGTATACGGGGCGTGGCTTGCGAGGGGTTGCTCGGGGGTCCGAGTTCCGCTTTTCCTCTCCCAGTCCCCTCGGCTTTTAAAATAAAAAAAGAAAAGAAAAGAAAAATTTGCGTGAATACTGAGCAAAAAATGTTTGCAGCCATGTTTTTTGCATGGCTTTCTCCTCCCCCATTTCCTTTCAAGGGAATATGTCATTTCCTAAGCGTCACGCTTCAGGCGAACGGCAAATATGGCCCAAGCCTCCGTTTTAAAGCTAGGGTTGTGAAGCATTGAAACATAGACCTATCTTAATTTAATTTCATTACTTTTTTTCTATTTCATTTTTGCGCAATTTAAACACAGACGACAACTGGCATTTGGAAAGAGGAGCGGCAAAAGGGCGAAAAGCGCAGTGTAGCAATGGCTTCTAAACCGTCGCTTTTTTACTGTTCTTTGTAAATGACAATTCTTTTCCGTTTTCTTCTTCCTCTTTACTACATTTACGTAGATTTTTGCTAACTGCAAAGGATTAAAGGTCTTTTTGGAAATGGACGTCTACGAGGAGCTTTTGAATATTAGTTTGGAAGATTTACAGGTATGAACACTACTTAGGAAACAAATGAATCAGCTTCATGGGGTTGATTTCTAAAGAAAGTTAAACTGTGGTGTTTCGTCAATGAGAGAGTGAAATGTAAAAATTTGCTGTTATCAACTCATTTGAAAAAGTCAACTAACCGGCGTAAAAAGATTGAAATGCTTTAAAGAGTGGAATAAACAAATCTTAGGTGCGTTTTTATTGACAACATTGTGTTGTTTCTTTGCCGCTTGTTATCCGAGTATAACTAACGCTAACGCAGCAGTATAACTACCTCTCGTAGGGATGATCGAATGTATAAGGCCTTTTATTTTTGTATCCACAACTACCCGCCTCCTTTTTCTACACAAATCAAAATATTTAGCCCAAAGAAATTGATCTGATATTTACTTTACCGTCGCCAGACCGAGTTCAACCGAGATCAGCACCATGTTACACTGGAATTTAACGTACAAAACGTGGAGGTAAGATGGTTTCAGTGTTCTAGTGTAAATAACTGTTGTGTCAAGTTCAAAGAATGCACAGCGAAAGATGACGAACGTTCCACAAAGTGCGCGTCAAACTCGACTGCCAGTCTTCTATTTTGTCGCGACCAGGTGGTACTACTTGATGTGGAGCACTCGCGCGGAAGACTGGGGTTTTGGGTGTTACCCATACCTCGCACGTTTTAAGAACAGTCTAGGAACGCATGAGGTCTAGTTCGCAGAAGTGTGCTATACTTACGTAAGACTTTCTTTTAGCATTTCACAAACTGACGAAATGAAACCATTAATCTTTTTTTTTTCTCAGGTAGAGGACTGCATCAATAAAATAATTGCTTTTCAACAGCAACGTTCTAGCGATGAGAGTGCCCCGTTCCTTCTGCGGTTTTCACTTGTGATGGATGCGGTCGGAGAAGACGAAAGAGTGGCCATTAAGGTACTAAACGTTCGCAAATTGGCCGTCCCAATATACCCTCTCGTGCGAAAAAAACTGTACGCAATCAAATCTGTATTAAGTCATCAATCTGCTCCCATCGCGCACCAATCGAGCCCGGGGGGGTGGGGGGGGGGTACTTTGGTTAGTGTTTGCTGGGTATGTGCCGCTGGCATCTCAGAGCCCCTACCTAATTATAGTCTATTTTTTGGCCAATTATAGACCCCATCTTAGTCACTTTTTGGAAATTGTAATTTTCGCGATCCCAACTTAGTCACTTTCTATTTATGCATCCTGACCTTATCAATGTGATTTCAAGCGGCGGAATGTAATGCAGTCAATGCGAGCTTATTGTTAACTTAAATAAGCAACAACTTTCTGATTTTTTAACCTAGAATCTTCCCATTTTGAATCCCTACTTACCCCAAAAATCCGAAAATTTGCGACCCCATTCCAGTAAATCTATTGAAAATGCGACCCCATTATAGTCACACCAGTCGTGAAAATGCGACCCCATCCAGCGGCACATCCCTATTAGTCTCTTGTAAGGGAGTAACCCCCCCCCCCCCCGCCAATCGTCTCGCTACCAATAGTTGGGCTGATTATTGTTCTTGTTTACTCAGAGAGCTCATACCGAACTAGGAAACTCACAGGTCAGCGTCCAAGAGATTGTCATTCTCAAGGTACTTCAGTTTGCGGGGATCAAAGAGAAAACTCAGTTATGGGGCGCAACAGCAGCAGGACAGAGCGAACAATCTACTGAAAATCTACCCGCCTTCTTGACTTCAACGAGATATTATTTCGAGAAGCTACAAGTTGGACCATTTCAAACTCTGATGACGTGTAACCCTGCCAGTAAACTTCCCCATGAGCTACAGAATTTAAAAACCGCGTTAGAGATTCCGGCTGGCTTTCCGCCTTTGATGGAAAATGCAAATGTACAGTTCAGTAAGTAAACTGCTTAACTGCAAACGTCTTGTGCTTTCTTTTGTTTGTTAGGAGGGATCGTAATGGGGAAGTGACATTTACGGTCAGCAGCTAATACTGAGCTTAAAACTTGCAGAGATAACCAGGTGATGGTGTTTTTCACATTTGCGCTTATCGTCTGTCCTTTTCAGCATGAGGTGGTCGTTTTTCACTTTCAGAAAAACGTGATTAAAAATTGAGTTTTTTGTCTTTTCTCCCGGCGGGTGAATTAGGCATTATATAGGTGATTGATACAAGTAAAAGAACTGATCGGCGGAAGTCAGTTGAAAGTAATTTCAGATCGCGGAAACCCGACTGTCGGCAAAGAACGTAAAGATAAATTCACCATCGAGACAAGAAGCCGCTGATTATTCAATTTTTAAGAGGAAGACCACCAGGATAACAGCAGGGGTTTTCATTGACAATTTTAAACAAGTGTTTAAACCCAGCTATCGATGATTGATTTTTCCTTCTTGCTTTATTATTTCAGGAGAATTTCTGCGAACAGGTATAACTTACAAGGCTTTAGTTTCTCTGGGACGGGACGCCAGGACGCATTATCTTAAGGTTAGGCGTCGTTTCTGAAGGTCCTATATTTTACAAATATTTTTTCCACGGTGACAAATAATTTGAGATGCTGCCTTTTAAGTTCGTCATTTAAACGTGGAGGAAGGAGAACTACTGGTGGGCTAAAGTTTGTGTGTTACGCTAATAATCACAGGGTTCGTACGGGTAATGGAAAACCTGGAAAGTCATGGAATTTAAGAATTGCAGTTTTCTAGGCCTGGAAGGCCATGGAATTTAATTGTCGATCCTTGAAAGTCATGGAAAAATGGAATTTCCGGCGTTTGAGTGGATACGAATCAACCGGAAATGAAATATTTCTGCGGCACGGGAACAGAGGGGGACTGGGACAGTTGAAGTGCAGTATGGGTAGAATGGAGCGCTATAAAACGGATCGGCTTATCATGTGGGAAAGCATTCTAGACCGACACCTTGTCTAGCTCACATTATTATTTATTTATTTATTTATTTATTTATTTATTTATTTTTAGTATATCTTTGATTTACTAGTGTCAGTTCAAGTTTCGCAAGGGTTTCTTAGCTTGTTTGCGTTTCCTTAAATTATTTAGAGTTTGCCGTCCTTTGTTGGAATACTTGTTTTGTAAATAAGGGCAAAGACCTTCCAGCCGTGTGGCCGTCGTAGGATGGGCTTTTCAGAGCGTGAGCCATGGATCCTACCCAGATTTCCTGCCGAGTTTTTTTACCCTACTGGGGTTTTTTCCGGCAGGCTTTTTGTGGCCTCTGTTCTGCAAGTATTCTGTGTAAACTGTCGCTCAGCTCTGTTCTAGTTCTTCCACCACATGTTTGAATGTCATAGAAGATGTTGTATAACGTCTTGTTATATCTGCGGTGCTCGGCCGAAACTGCCAAAATAAACCTAATGGTTTTTCTATTCATGTTTTACTGCGTAGTGGAGCCGAAATTTTAAGTTTTGTTACGTAGATTAGTTACTGAAGGTGACAAAGCACGGACAGTGTACGATAGAGAGATGTGATTGAACAGCGCAAACGGCATGCATTTAGGTGGACACCAGAGTTTGTCTCTCTTGAACTGTGTATGATCCAAAAATACCCTAAAACACAAAAGCTTTAAAAATTTATAAAAAGTGGCAGCTAAACCTAAGGTCATGGAAAAAGTCATGGAAAGTCTTGGAATTTGAAGAGCTTAAAAGAATACGTACGAACCCTGTACTCGTTTTAGTCAGTTCACGATGACTCAGCGTCACTCGCAGTCAGGTAATTTTTTTTTCAACAATTTTCCTTTCAATTTTGTTAGGAAATCGGCAGCCAGTCCGCGTCTCTTCTGGGTTCACTGCATTTGCTTGGTAACATTTCCAGTTTACAGGAAGAAATCGCTGATGGGCTGGCAGATCTGAAGCAGACTGGGGACTACATTGGATTTGTGAAACATGTGAGAGGGGGTTTGGCCGAGTCCTATTACAAGGTGAGGGCGAAATAAAATCTCGCGGAAAACGGTGGTGATGTTGTGGTTCAATTTTATCATTGGTTTAAACTTTATTTTTCTTTATTTCAAACTTGTTATCATAAATTACCATAGCCCAAAACAAAGGAAAATAAACCAAGGATAAAATTGAACCACAACGGTAACAGTAACGTGGTCGAAATCTTGAATTTGCAACAGTAAATTTTTCCCGTCTAATAACAGGCTGACGTACAATGAAGTTTCCTGGATGAAACATACTCAGATACACCGTTGTAAAAGAGCGCAGTGTCTTGAACTAAAGCAAAGAAATCCTAGATTATTTATTACCTTCGCACAAGTGACTGCGATATTATATCTAGCTGGATTTTTGACAAAGTACGTAGCTACCAAAAATTGCAGTCATTTGACTGAAGAAAGGCCAAATGGGAAAGTTTCTTGCGTCCGAAAATCACATTGCAGAAGGAAAAGTAGTGGAAAAATAGAGAACGTCGAGAAAGAGGGTACCCTGCGAGCAGAGTCTCCTTCGATCTTCCTAGATAAGTCGGCTTTAGGAAGATGGAAGGAGACTGCTCGCTGGGTAGAAAGAGGTTAGAAGAAGAGGAAAACAGCAATGGTTGCACTCCGTTTTTAAATTGGCTACTTTGAGCGAAAAAAAAACAATGGTGGACGGAAGAGATTTATTTTGCCTTGGCAGTACGCGTTTTTAGAAATCCAGCTAGATATATATACAGGTAAATCTATAACAACAACAACAATGTATTTATGTAAAGAAATATAAAGTTTACGATACTTTATGTCCTGCAAATAGCTATAATGCTAATCTAGGCAGGACAAGACTTTAAATAAAGACGTTATTAAATTACATAAGAAAAAAGAAAAGAAAAGAAATACAATAACATACAGAAAGAAACACCTTACACATAAATTCAAGTACAGGGCATTTTGTTATTTGAAAAATCTATATATGTTTTCGATATCAACGGAATATGAGTTCCGCTAACCTGGCCTATGGTACAGAGTTCGTATCAGGGCGCCTTGTGACCTTGCCATGGGAAAACCATCGATTTTGTTCGCGACACCTTTAGTCATAAAGGATTAAAGTTCATAACTGTTACTTTAATCCCCTTCATATTTTTGCACCGACTTGACGACTCCCTACTATCCTCGTTGGAGAAATTAAGCCTTTGTTCCGATGAATTCTGATTTTTAAAAAATCCGTGTTTTTTTAAAATATCATTGTAGATTGGATTCCCTTTTTTACCAATGTATTCACTTCCGTTTTTAACATCTCTCAATTTTTTAAATCTCTAGAATTTTTAAGATCTTTTATTATAATTACTATTTGTAAATAGACTTTTTATCATGATTGTTGCAAGTTATCATCAATTTTGTTTTTAGAGGGCCACTAGAGAAAATACTTTTCATAGTAATTGGTGTCACCCTCTTAAAATAAAGGTTACATATATAAAATACCTTCCATCGATTCAAGCTGTTTTCACGTTTGAGGTAAAAAATGCCAAAACTTCGTAATTTAGGATTGTCACATGATAAATACCTGCAATCTTTTCAACAACGGAGTTACGAAATATCGAACGATGAGCGATCGCCAGTAACATTTGTTTGTTTGCTCTTGGGTCATTTTAATACCGTTTTGTTTATAGTTCGCCGATTCGTGGTCCGCGACTATAAATCAGTCAGCTGCGGCAAGACGTGAAAGTAGTTCTTCATCTACCGATTCTGTAGCTGTGGGGGATAATTCCTCCTCGCCCATGAAGTCCGTACGTAGTGTTGTGGAAAGTTTAACAAGCCTTATTCTCAGTCCTTCAAGAGACGCGAGTCTGGGAAAACAGCAGGTATTGTATTCATTATTCATTATTTCCTTATGTTGCTTTCGGGTTGCGTTGCCTCGTATCTATGTTGATGGGTTACGGTCGTTTGGATACAAATTCTTTTTTTTTTTCGATACAAGTCGAGATGTATTTAGTTGCACGTACTTGGCTTAAAGAACAAAGAATATTCACTTTAAATGTTTTTCTTGTTGACGCGCAAACTATACTAGAAGTGATTAAAGACCATTAAAGTTTATGTGCAATTTCACCGCTGAGTCCGTATCGGAAAGACCCTGTTCCATTTTGACCGCGTGTTTTCCCGCCTTGAAGGGGAATCATTTCATTTTGAAAAAACCCGTCGAACTCGTTTGCGAAATCAGAGTAAAAGCGACCTCAGAGTAAAGAGAAGTTAGGCCGAGATTTAATAGATTCCTCTTAGTAAAGCCAAGTGTTATGAAGCAAGGGTGTAGCGTGATTGTGAGATGGCGTGATTTTATTCCTTTCAGATATTTTTATTAATAGTTTCTCTCGTCTGTCAGAGCGACAGAACTTGATGACAGATCGGTTTAAAAACTAAAGCTTATAGATTCACAAAAGTCACGATTTCGTGTAGTGTGTGAGCGAGCCATTGTACTGTGAGGATTGAAGCCTGTTTTTGCTTAAAACTGTGATAATATCGTGAAGAACGGCCCTTCGGCCTTCACGACACCAAGATTTAGTCACGTGATTAACCTTTCANAGTCCGTACGTAGTGTTGTGGAAAGTTTAACAAGCCTTATTCTCAGTCCTTCAAGAGACGCGAGTCTGGGAAAACAGCAGGTATTGTATTCATTATTCATTATTTCCTTATGTTGCTTTCGGGTTGCGTTGCCTCGTATCTATGTTGATGGGTTACGGTCGTTTGGATACAAATTCTTTTTTTTTTTCGATACAAGTCGAGATGTATTTAGTTGCACGTACTTGGCTTAAAGAACAAAGAATATTCACTTTAAATGTTTTTCTTGTTGACGCGCAAACTATACTAGAAGTGATTAAAGACCATTAAAGTTTATGTGCAATTTCACCGCTGAGTCCGTATCGGAAAGACCCTGTTCCATTTTGACCGCGTGTTTTCCCGCCTTGAAGGGGAATCATTTCATTTTGAAAAAACCCGTCGAACTCGTTTGCGAAATCAGAGTAAAAGCGACCTCAGAGTAAAGAGAAGTTAGGCCGAGATTTAATAGATTCCTCTTAGTAAAGCCAAGTGTTATGAAGCAAGGGTGTAGCGTGATTGTGAGATGGCGTGATTTTATTCCTTTCAGATATTTTTATTAATAGTTTCTCTCGTCTGTCAGAGCGACAGAACTTGATGACAGATCGGTTTAAAAACTAAAGCTTATAGATTCACAAAAGTCACGATTTCGTGTAGTGTGTGAGCGAGCCATTGTACTGTGAGGATTGAAGCCTGTTTTTGCTTAAAACTGTGATAATATCGTGAAGAACGGCCCTTCGGCCTTCACGACACCAAGATTTAGTCACGTGATTAACCTTTCAAGTCCCTGGAGTGACCAACATCAATTTTCTCCTAACAAAATCAATGTATCATTCAGTACATGAGAATTAACTAAATGATCATCGAAAGGAAAAATCTTTGATCTTTAATCAAGTCCTCTAAACTAATTTCTTAGGAAAATGTATGTACATAACTCTAATGGAGAATTTTAGCGTGGCTTTTAGGGTTTAAAGGATTCTGTACTCCTTAATTCAACTTCTTAAAAGCCAAAATTTACATCGTGATTGTAGGTAAAAGTTTATTATAACGCAAAAGCGGTTGCATCCGAACGCCACGTCAGTCGACAAAATGTGTCAACTAAGTACCGTGAATCTCTGTGACTTTTTATGGGCGGTTTTCTGTTTCAGTCAAGCCTTTATAAGAACCACGTGAAAAGATTTTATTGCTCGCGGCTTCGCTGGTTTTGATTTTCAAGGACCTCTGTTCAATTTCGAAACATCCTGATGTGCGAGAGAAGAAACCTTCCGTGTGATATCCAGTTATTTATACGACTCTGTTAAAGGATAAAGCTCACAGTGACAGTTTTTGAATGAATCTTTCTACACGGATTACCATCGAATGTCAGGGATTCCGGAATTCGGGAAATTTTTGCTTGTAAAATCCCGAATCCAGCAAATGTTTCCTGTGGAATCCAGAATCTTGAGCTTTGGAATGTGGAATACAGCTCAAGGAATCTGGAATCTCACTGTCGATTGGAATCCAGAATCCAAGTTCCTCTGACAAAGAATCCGAAATCCACGGCGTGGAATCCACATCCTAGACTGTCTTGGATTCCCTTACAAAGAGCGAATCAAGATTTCACTTCGTCATCGTAGTTGATAAAGGCGATTTTAACTGTTTTCATTCCTCTTCCTTCTCCTTCTCACGGCCTACAAAATGCAATTCTTGTATTTTAGAAACTAGTTTTATCCTCGCATGCGGTGAAACCTCTATTAAGCGGACACCCTCTATTAAGCGGACACTAAGCCAGGTCCCGAAATTAACGTCTTATATTTTCCTTCATAACGAACCCCTATTCAGCGGACACCTCTATTAAGCGGACGCGGACACTAAAATGAATTATATTTGGCTAGTTTCTATCCTTAAAAGCCTCTATTTTAATAGCTTAAAAGCGGTCACTGGACTGAATTGACATTAGCAGTACTGGATTACGTACTTGAAATACGCACTGTAGTCGAGTAATAAAAGTCTTGCACAAAGTACATGTGCAGCACAGCTTCCTTAGCTTCCTTTAATAACATCATGGAACTTTATCACAGTACAGAGCAGCCGTTGAATGTAAATCATTAACAAACATTGCGCAATTCAGACACCTGTCGGGAATCGCCCCCCGTATTCATAGAAATCCACGGCAATTCGCTTGATGTAGCTTTATTCACAATAACGAATCCCAAAGTCACAGTTTTCGCAACTCACACACTCACAGATATTTTCGGCACAACAAGTTGGTTTTGATAGCGTGATCTTCTCCCTCCGACTTCCCACAATACACATGAAACCTAACCTATATTATTATAAAGTGATTAACACTTAGTACTATTTCCACGATATCCATTTATCTTATCAGTTATCACGGTTCACTTCGTGACTGTTCCTTGAACATACCGGAGATCATGAGCTAATTATTTAGCAATCAACGTTGCCATCAACTTGAAATGTAATATAGCAAATAGCCTAAAAATATACTACGAAATATGTACGCACACTATTGGCGTACTATTCCCAACACACACTGTCTTAAGCGGACACTTGGGAAGGTCCCGAAGGTGTCCGCTTAATAGAGGTTTCACTGTATATATTTTCTTTGTTGGGGTATTATTAACAAACCCCAGCCCAACCTCCATTCAGGGAACACTTGCCTTGGTTCCGAGGGTGTCCCCTGAATAGAGGTTCCACTGTTTAATCATTTTAGTTAAATCAGTCACGTCATACTGGTTGTTTCTGTATTTTCTCATTTACTTAGATATCCAACCCCCCAGCTGCCTCGCCTTCAGGCAGTCCGAGAACACAGGAGACCTCCAGGAGACTTTTGCCTATAGATTACGAAGATCCTGATTCGTCCGGAAGTGAAGAGAGCAGTTTATCCTGCATTCAGTCGCTAGACGGCTGGGAGATGGTGTCAAGAGACGTCCAGAGAAGACAGAAAGGTCAGGAATTTTTACGGAGGTTGCAAGTTAGCTTATGCGGAGAGGAAAACAAAGATGAAAGGTAAGCTGTCTTGTAGATGTGCTAGGTCTGGGCCAAACGTCGAATTTTCCATGCGTTTAACTAAACTGAGTGCTGACAGTTTGGATCTAGAAACACTTTCCACCCGTCAGACGGATAGACGATCTGAGGATGCCGCGGATTATTCCATAGAGCTAGTCACCGGAATAACGAAAAGAATCCGTTATAAATGGGTTTACGCAAGTCGAGGTCCCACCTGTAACCTTTCGCGCCCTACTTTTTCTGGGCAACTTATTTAAACGCTTCGTTAAGTTCGACGATTGATCCAGCAGTCAATCGTAACTAGATTAAGGTCGACCCAAATGGCAATTTGTTTCGTCTCATTGCCTTGGACTAAATACCGTTATTCTGCAGTTGCTGTCACTTCCGACCCTCTTGATGTAAAGTTTGCCTTCATTTTTTTGTGGGTAAAAATTTACATGATAACTATTGTCATGATCAAAATTATCGTTTGCCGTCAAGCAGGATTTTACTTTAGTACTTGATGTTTATTATGATGTACGAGGTCGTTCAGTGTAATTCGCCCTCTAGTGGGAATCATACCAACATCTTTGTAAGTCTGTGATTGGGCTAGTTAATTTCTTATCTTTATAACAAAATTGAGCGGTAAAAACACGACGTTTCGACAATTACCTGTCGCCAGCAGCAAGGGTAAATGACAAGAATGGCAGTTATCTTAATTGTTCATATTAGATTTTATTGTAATTGGTATGTGAAAACCCATTTTAATTGGATGTACCAATAAAGTTGATTTGATTTGAAAAGAAAGTGTGAATTTACATTAAAATAAGAAAGTGTAGAAACAAAAGAGTGTGCATAAGTGACAAGTTTGGTGGTAATGTAGTCGTCTGTTCGAGTGTTTAAAGTCAGTCTCCAAGGAGTATCTCATCATGAGTGAAACACGCAAGTTTTCGACAGTACCACTTTAACTAGTAAATAGCTCCCAAAGATTGGTCGGCTATTGATTGTATTTCTCGTTGAGGTATTTCCAAATTACAGCGGAGTGCTGGTCAAGGTAACGCCGCCGCGTTGCCTATATAATTTGCGTCGCACAAATTTGCATGTAAATTTATTAACAAGACATTGTGGGTTGACGGTTGAAAGGTTGTCCGGTGGTTTCGCTGTATCATGAGGTGGATTCGATGCAAAACATTTTTCGTTTCAAACCCCTGTTTTCATTGACCACTCTTCTCTTTCTGTCCTTACCGTGAAGCTAAGCTAACATGCCCGCTCATCAGGCTAGTTTCCGAGAGTGAGTTGAAACGAATCCAGAACAAGAATCAAACAAGAGGTATCGACACGAATATGGAGAATGTAGCGCAACTGGACTACTAGGTTCATCTATAGTATCATTGAACGAAGCTCTCCGTTGCACTCCTTAGGAAAACCATGTAGTATACGACTTGACCAGGCACCCAACAACTGTTTGCTGTAAAACATCTATTCGGAGACGCAAATATTGTCTAGAATTTCTAATTACTTGAGGACAGTTAAAAATTTCTAGATGACCGTTTTATTCATATAAAATTTTCGAAGCTCTCCTAATAAATCGCCTATGATTTTCTGAAGTATAATTTTTCACATTTTACTCCTCAGGTTAGGTGATTTTTCGTAGAAAAAAGAAAACCTAAAATTTTCGGTTTCAAAAATGTGATGGAAAGAAGAATCAGAAAAATTCCTCCTTTGTAATACGTTAAATTGCATTTTAAATTTTCGGGAAAATAATACTGAAGCCCTGGTAATTTCTAAAAGACTCACGTTCCCCTTGGCTGACCGAACAGATGCAAATTTTATAGCGCCGCTTCGAATGCTTTTCTAGATATCTAAAAGTATTCTGAATAGCTTAAAAAAAAGTGTTTTCAATGTATTTAAGAGAAACTGTCGTTGTGTGTCTCTGACTTGAGAAGTTTGCAATCACGCGTTTAAGTTAACAAACCAAGGCTAAGAGCCACCAAGTTTGATATGTGTAACAACATCGCTCAAACAAAGTTTTCTGCATGTATTCCAAATTAATGCGCAGACTCTGCCGCGAGAGAACTTCGATATGCAGCGAAAAGACTTGTAGCGAAATGAATCTGTAGTTAAACGACCGATAAGCGACTTCAGGTCTTCTGCAGTTTTCTTACTTGTAAACATTGGTTGTAACACTCGGTCGATATTTCCAAAGCCGACCGATGTTAACGAGCAATTTACCACCTTAAGTAGGCTCGTTTTCTGCCGTCTCCCGAATCCGGTCTTTAATCCTGAGTGCGGGCTCAGTCATTTCCCCGAGCAGCGCCTGGTAATTGAGCCTACACCTAAGGAAATGCTGTGGAAAATTATTTGCATTTGTTAGCAACGTCCTTAATGCACAACGACGACGTGAAACTGCCTAATTTTACGTTTTATGGGGGACGTTAACACAAAACAACCAACTTCTTTTTTTNCTGTTTTCATTGACCACTCTTCTCTTTCTGTCCTTACCGTGAAGCTAAGCTAACATGCCCGCTCATCAGGCTAGTTTCCGAGAGTGAGTTGAAACGAATCCAGAACAAGAATCAAACAAGAGGTATCGACACGAATATGGAGAATGTAGCGCAACTGGACTACTAGGTTCATCTATAGTATCATTGAACGAAGCTCTCCGTTGCACTCCTTAGGAAAACCATGTAGTATACGACTTGACCAGGCACCCAACAACTGTTTGCTGTAAAACATCTATTCGGAGACGCAAATATTGTCTAGAATTTCTAATTACTTGAGGACAGTTAAAAATTTCTAGATGACCGTTTTATTCATATAAAATTTTCGAAGCTCTCCTAATAAATCGCCTATGATTTTCTGAAGTATAATTTTTCACATTTTACTCCTCAGGTTAGGTGATTTTTCGTAGAAAAAAGAAAACCTAAAATTTTCGGTTTCAAAAATGTGATGGAAAGAAGAATCAGAAAAATTCCTCCTTTGTAATACGTTAAATTGCATTTTAAATTTTCGGGAAAATAATACTGAAGCCCTGGTAATTTCTAAAAGACTCACGTTCCCCTTGGCTGACCGAACAGATGCAAATTTTATAGCGCCGCTTCGAATGCTTTTCTAGATATCTAAAAGTATTCTGAATAGCTTAAAAAAAAGTGTTTTCAATGTATTTAAGAGAAACTGTCGTTGTGTGTCTCTGACTTGAGAAGTTTGCAATCACGCGTTTAAGTTAACAAACCAAGGCTAAGAGCCACCAAGCTTGATATGTGTAACAACATCGCTCAAACAAAGTTTTCTGCATGTATTCCAAATTAATGCGCAGACTCTGCCGCGAGAGAACTTCGATATGCAGCGAAAAGACTTGTAGCGAAATGAATCTGTAGTTAAACGACCGATAAGCGACTTCAGGTCTTCTGCAGTTTTCTTACTTGTAAACATTGGTTGTAACACTCGGTCGATATTTCCAAAGCCGACCGATGTTAACGAGCAATTTACCACCTTAAGTAGGCTCGTTTTCTGCCGTCTCCCGAATCCGGTCTTTGATCCTGAGTGCGGGCTCAGTCATTTCCCCGAGCAGCGCCTGGTAATTGAGCCTACACCTAAGGAAATGCTGTGGAAAATTATTTGCATTTGTTAGCAACGTCCTTAATGCACAACGACGACGTGAAACTGCCTAATTTTACGTTTTATGGGGGACGTTAACACAAAACAACCAACTTCTTTTTTTAAAAAAAAAAACTTAGTCTTTTAGAATTCAACTCCAGAAAAGTTCACCAACATTTGACAAATCGAACGTCATTGAATGAGACCGATGAATTTCGAAACAGCGCGAATTTACGTTTTGTCGTCGTCGTTGTTTAAACTACCTATCGTTACGAATAAGAAGCGTAGTCTTTTGGGTGAAAAATTCTTTTATTTTGCCTCAATAAACAGGCCATTTTACAGTTGTGGGCTTGGTGTCCTAGCCTTTGAGTGAACGTGAGGCTGAGGTTGACCTTGTTTTGATATAAACCTCCTTCCTTTTCTAATGGAAAATTCGCCTAAAAAATACTAGTTAGCATATCAACAACAAGTTTTGCATGATAAAGCAAGAAGGGTTGTATCAAAACAAGGTCAACTCCAGCCTCGTTTGCTATTGTATCGGTAAAAAGGGCCATTGTGTGTGGTATTGAGACCTTTAATCGCGTACTAAAATTTTCAACGTTATTCACTTATCCAAATTAAAATCAAGACACTTTTATTACAGATTTGTGAGCTGTTTAAAACTACGTCATCTCAATCCTGACGATAAACTCAACGCCCTGGTAACGAACCACAGCGTGTACTTCATGAAGGTGGGGTCACCATCAGCTGATCACGTGGTTTTAACCATAAAACTTCTGCACCTTTACAAGGCAAGACACAGAGATCAAGGTATGCAATAAGTTAGTTATTGTTCACATAAAGGTGTAATAAGAACAGTGACTAGAGTTTCTAGTTTTGGTGCCTTGGCTAAGTAAACTAACTTTGGAATTTTGGATAGTTAGTGGCTTACACGAAGAGATTGCTTTTAAGGCCCCATCCATAGAGCCTGCGCCACAGACGAAACTAAACTCTTTTAAGTCCGTTTGCGAATCAGCGCCGAAATCCTTTTTTTGGGCCCCTGCTTGAGTATGCGCCATGATTGGCCTGCTAAGAAAGCCATTGTCATTGCTCGAACGGGGAAACTCCTTTGTAATTTCCTTATTGTAGACCATTTAACTGATGTACACCATAAAACTAATGTCTTAGGCTTACCGCCGGGTTAAATCGTATGCGGCAGACATACACCGAGTAAGTCAGCAGCGATATGCTTGAGCAAATACACGAAACCTAAACAAGTCGTAACCCAATAGTCCCGCTTGAATCGGCTCTTAAAAAAGTCTCTTGTAAAATGTTTTCGTCTTTGTTGAATTTAAGTAATGATATAATGACGCTTCTCTGTTTTCAATTTCAGATAACGAGCATTATCTGCAGTTATTGATGAAAATATCAGGAGGCAGGCGACTGTCCCTCCCCTCCCCTAACCCTGCCGACAGCCCCCTCGTCCGGTGTGACAGCGTCAAAGTTGCCCAAAAAGCAGCGAATATAATCAACCAAACAAAGAGAAACAGCGAGGATAATACTTTCAGATAGCAGACGTTATGACCAAGATATCCGAATATACAGCCCCAGCAACGACAGTGAACGCTAGATATAATGTCTTTTAAGTAAGACTGGCTTTCATGAATCCTCTCTGCTCCAGGTAGTCTGAAATGTGAGCCGTCTCCACCCCCTAACCTGTTCGGGGAAGGGGGGAGAGACTAGAGCTATAAATTCATGAAAAACTCTCAACATTCATTTTGGAAATAATTGGATTTTAGGTTCTTCCAAAATCTTTGCACAAATAGAGTGACTGACTGTTGGGCGCAAAAGTGAGACTTTACTCCATAGTCAAAGAAAAGTATTCGCAAGACGTTCGTAACTATTATCAATTATCTATTATCAATGCTGCGTTCTGAGTGGAGGAGCTACAACTAGGCTATATGTTATTACCCACTAGTAGCGAAAAGC